AAGTGGAAGAATGCAGAAAAACAATTCTGAGACCTCTTAGGGACCATAAGGATGGATGAAATAGGTTAGGAAAGAAGAAAAGAATACATATTTTCAGACCCAACCATACTCAGTGAAATCTGAAAAGTACAATTTAAGGACAAAGCTAAAGATAGAGGTTGTCAATTTTAACATGAGAAAAGAACATCCAGAGTGATTTAGTACATAGAGGAGCTTCTGTAAACTTTTATTTTTAAACTTCCTTGCTCCTAGCCATCCCCCAAACTATAGCTATAAAACAAAACTTCAGATAAAAAAGAAATTGACAAACTTGAAGGAGTAATAGATAAGATATGTCACTGAGAAGTGCAATTTCAGAGTCAAGAAATGAACAATCTGACTTCTGCTCACTATTATGGTACATACATGTGACATTTTGACTACAGGAAATAGTAAAAAATTTGTAATAAATAGCAAATACAAGGACCTTTACTACCATTATTTCCTTTAATTTTATTAATGCAGAAACATACATAGAGGGAAAAAGAAGGTAGGAAGAGAAAAGCGGGGAAGAGATTTAGAAGGAATTGTTCAGAAAGCCAAAAAAAAAAAAAAATGCAAACAAGGGCACCTGGCTGGCTCACTTGGTAGAGCTTGCAACTTCTGATCTTGGGGTTTTGAGTTACAGCCCCACGTCAGGGATAGAGATTATCTTTAAAAAATTCCAATAGTTGTTCACTAAACTTCTAACCTCATGTTCCAATTCCATCTCTTTCCTTCATCTCCCTACCAAATTTCTTGAAAGAGTTCTTCTACGTCATTATTACAAAAATCACTTGCTGCTGGTAAGTAAACTAGCTTAGGACCGCCTCACCTTTAGGGCCTCTACTTTATGGGATGGCCTGTACTGTGATGATATATCCATCTCCTTTGCACCCAACTTCACAAGTGGGTAGAAAATATAAAACCCCATTTTGAGAGGATAAGAGGGGTGCCACAAAGACATGAACAGTAACCTTTCTAAAACATCAATGCTGTTTCTGGGTTGCTAAAGAATGGACATTTTGGGGGTACAGAGCTGTAGTGTGACCCAGGAGCCACATCAGTATTAGCCTGGTATGATACTTTTTTCAAGGTCAGCAGGTAAGGTGAATGAAGTGTGAGCCCTGTTCTTTGGAACTGTGGTAGGGAACAAATGTTACACATGACTCGAGTGGTGGCTTATGCCCAGGTTCTAAGGTTTTCTGTTTCTAAGCTACAAAGAGAGCATAAGTTTTATTTTAAAACTAGGCTGTCATTTTTGTAATAGACACATAAATAATAAATAACCAAAGAAACAATAAATTCCCTCGTGATAATTTATAGCAAAGTGCTGCTGGGCATGTGGATCTGCTGACTTGAACAAGTCTCAGTAAACCAGCCCCAATCAAGTTTAGATTCACTTGAGGGGTAGGAACTACCTCATCGGGCTGGACATGAATGCCTTGTTAAGGAACTCAGGGTTACATTACACCACATTCCTGAAAATATCTGGTGGCAATGAAGTTGCTCCAACAGTTAACAGGGCAAATACAGAGTTCTGCTTGAACTGGCAGCTATCACTTCCTGATACGAAGGGCTGGTCTGGCTGACATCAGCTCTTTGTTCTCTTCAACTAAGAGTATCCTCAGTTTGGTTCAGTCCCACACAGGGGGGATTCTGTTTCCCAAGCTTTAATTTTGTAAACTGCTTCTCTTATTACCATTGTGATTTTTTTACAATCCCAAATCCTTAAATCACTGGGAATTCCAATCTTAAAATATAAGCATGAATTGGAAGAAAAATGAGGAGCAACAGCATGTTTGATAATAGGCTAAGGAACAATGTGAGGAGTCTGAAGACCTACAGAAGGAGAAGTGAAGTCAAAGGTCAAGCGGGGACATAATTTAAACACTCCAAGTTGAACTCAATTAACTTTTTCTTCATGACCCTACTTTGTCTGAAAATTACTATTCTGTAGAGCACTCTGACTTCTGATACTTTTATACAAAGTGCCTCATACATTAACAATATACTTAAAGTAATGTGTCAAAACCTATCTCTTAAGTTACAATTAAATCTAGACTATTAATTTAAAGCCTGCTTTTGAATATATACAAGTAACTATAAGAGATACACCAGAAAACACTGCAGGCCCAAGCTGTCTCAGCTGAGCTGCACCAGAAATCAGATGGATTAAAATTTACTAGGTAATTTGTTCTTAGAAGCAAAAGGGAATTATTTTCCTAAGTCATTGTAGTCTACCTACTATAATGTAGCCTGAGCCCAGTCAGAGCAAGGTGGCATCTAGTTACTTTCATCCATTTTTGCTGTAGAATTTTTGACAAGACCCATCATATACATGAGGGACAGGGCAGAGATAGTGGAAGGGACAGTGGACAAGAGGAAGAGACTCCTTGGAAATACAGATACAAATAAGGAGGCCACTGGGGAAGCAGAAGTGTAAACCCAAGGAGATACTATGTTGTTGAGATTACAGAATTCTAGATAGCATTTCAGAAAAATTCTATACATTTTATATAAGCTGGAGTAGCTAAAATAAGTATGTAGTATAAGGCAGGGAAAAAATATAATAACTGTTGAATGATAAACACAATTGAGAAAATATATACAAAAAAACAAATTGTTGGTGGAGAAATGAGGTTTCCTATGGACACATGCTCTTTGATTAATAAACTGATGATCTCATACAGAGTTTTTGCTTTGAACGATTCATTATGCAAAGGTGCAAAGAGTCTAGAGTCTAAGAAAACAATCTTCTCTATCCTCCAAAGATCAGGCAATTATAGCACAGCTGGTATGATAATTTCATTAATAACTTGTAGGATAGTACACTGGTGCTGCTAATGCCAAATTACAATTAGTTACAAATCCTATTTCTTTAGTTTGCTAAATAAGGAATATATTATTTAGTTTTGCTTTAACTGCCTTTTGCTCCATGAGTCAGAATGCAGAATAAAATCCAAAGTCTTGAAAGACTTCCTATCTACGTAATTACTGATATACTGTAAGGAACCAGTGACTTTGTGGCTTGAGAGGCATAACAGAAGAGTTAAGATCATACTGTATGAAGTATAATCCAAAGCTCCAAAAAGCTATTTCACATCAAAAGAAATACTGTTAATCTCAGATGGGAGAGGAAAAACATATAACAGATAACTAAGACCCAAGAGAAGGCCTCATGAAAATAGATCCTAACTCAGGGTTTTTATAGCTTTTACAAAAATAAATCTATTGTTACATTCCCTGATAGATAATTTGGCCAACTTCAGGGCTTTAAAATGAATGTCTCAAACTACCAGGAGTAGAAGAAGAGAATACATCCTGTACATCAATCAATTAAGTTCCATTTTATTGGCTTGTCAGGTATTTATCAGCAACTTTAAATCCAAGAATTATGGGACCTCAAGATGCCTGGCATCTTTGGGCTCCCAGACTACTCTGCCTATTTCTAGATGTCTCTAGGGCACAAAGACTGTCATTTCATTTGGTAATCCATTACAGTGCTCAGCTACCTACCTGTCAACAAGGCTACTTTATTTCCTTCCTACTTATCTTGGAAGATCTCAATACAACCCTATTTTATTTTCCCAGATGAGCAAACTTGGTGATGCAACATTTCTTTTTTAGTTCTTTATTCACTAGACTTGTTTTTATTGACCACAGAGGCAAACCCAGCTAATTCTGAAATCACGTTCCTCTCTGCCTTTAATCACGAAGGGGGAATTTTCTTCAGCCATACAGATCTATCTTGAGATACAGACGTCAAGTGACTCACCTCAGTTCTGTCAACTGCAGTGTGTGCAAAGGCGGTTTTAGGTTTGAGGGAGAAAGGTTTAACTTTCTTCAAAGAAACCATTATTTTTCCTAGACCTTATATAGTCCTTAAATACATGAAATTGTATCTGCTCATTAATACTTATCTCTGATCATTAATCCATGAATGCCAGGATTTAGCAAGATTTATATAAGGAGACATATCATATTGTATGGTGATTTAATCACTGCAGGGTGATTAAAAAACTCTTCCATCAAATTCTACAAGCAACCAAAACTTGGCCACACCAGTTCCTCATCTCTCCATTTACTATCCTTATAGGAGACTAAGAGAATGAAGTCTTTCACTTCTGTATGGAAAACTAGAGGTACATTTCCTCACCAATCCTTAGATCTAACCAAAATCAGAAGACAGGTTTCTCAACATGAACAATGCCATCATTTTCAGCAAAACAGTCCTTTACTGTGCTTGAATGTCCTCTGAGCAGGCTACGATGCAGAACCCAAGTCCCCACCCCACGTGTAACAGGGGTCTCACACTCACTCTTTAAAACCCTCCTTGAACTACAGTGTTGCTCTTGATGAATGCTGATACCCACCCAACTCATGCTGATAATGGTAAACGCCTCCCGGATATCCACAGGAAGACTCTCTGAATATTCTTCAAAATGAATATGCTCAAATAGTATTTTGTTAAACTTAGCAAAACCAATTTCAGTGTACTGCTAGAGTAATATTTGTATTGGGCTTTATTTTCATTTGGTTCATACGGCTGGTAAGGAATAGAGTTTTCATCTTAGGCACATAGAACAATCTCAGGGTCTCCAGAGTCAGACCCGTCACAGATGTTGAACAGAAGGAATAGGCTCGGCCAGCAGTTTCTGCTCAAGAAAAGTTCCACATCTCCAAGTTAGGATTCTGGAGAGCGGAAAGTCCAAGACCATGTGTAACACTGTCAACACAGCCACATCTGTGAGGCCAAATGTGCACGCTGAGATGGCAGAGAGCAGAGGATAAGGAGGGAAGAAGGGAGCGAGAAGTGAGGGAGGAAGCATAGTCATCCTGGAGAGCAAGCTAAAATTCCAACTGGCTACTGCCTCACTGCCTCCATCTAAATCCAATTACATATCTAAATGGAGTGGCAAAAGCTCAGAGCAGCACTGAGATGCCCGGCCTCGTGGCAGGAGGCATAGCACACGTCTAACCTTTGCTGGTTTTAGTCGGTTCGGAGGACATGTTTCCAGTCTTCTTCTTTTTCCTTGGGACAGGTACGCATTTCCGGTCAAATGTAACAGGACTATATTGAGGAAGGCTGTTGAATTTTTTTTCAAATTCTTCATCCAGCTTTGCTGAGCTAATAAGAGAAGGGTCATAGAATCGATCAGCACATGACATAAACATTTAAGCAGAAAATAAAACAAGACAGATTTTAAGACATTCCATTTGAAAACAGGGTCCCTGAGAATTAGGGCACTGTTGATAGATTCTGTGCAAGGACAAAAATCATCTGAGAAGATTTATCAGCACAGTTTTCGCAATCAATTCACATGGAAGCTTATCTTATTGCCCTTAGAAAAGCAAAAACATGATTTAAAATAAAAGAATATTTTTGAAGTTTTCTCCACTGGCATGGACATTTCTCATGAAGTTCAATACAAAGCATATTCCATCCAGACAAGTTTCTCGTTCTAAAGATTCATATTTATGTATCTATATTGGCAAGCTTATTGGTAATGCAGTATATACCAGTACTTTTATGAGGTTTGTTTTAAAAAAATATTTATTGACTAGCTTGATTAAAACATATCCAACACACAAAGAAAGCACAAACAAAAATTCTGAGTATCAGAAAAATTCTGGAGAGTTGACCAGGATGATGATAAAGCACTCAACAACAAGGAAAGCCAGTTTTCAATGAACACACTGGCAGAGAGGCAGCTACGCTTTAAGGCAAACCATGGATGAGTTCAGAAATGGCACCAGCAAAGTTGGGAAATCCTCAGGCTGCTTCTGACTGTCTCTAAGGCCTCCACCCAGCCGTGGCAGCATGCCTCCTGGATCCTTTCACTTGCTCAGACTTATTACCTAAGATGAAACCCAAACAGATGGGAGAAACTACAGCAGAATGGCTGTGGATGCAAAATGGAAGGCATTCTGGGAAGAGAGCAGCTTTGAGTTAGCTTGTAAGAAGCTAATAGCTAATGTGTCAGGCTGCTGCTTAGAGCATATACTTGAGGTCTGTCCACCTAAAACTATTAAGAGTTGGACAGCAGAGACAAGACAGTTTGATGACTATCAGAATGGTCAATGGAAAAAGGCCATTACTACGTTCTATCAAAGCAGGGAGGGTGGTAGGTGGGGGTGATGCTCCGTCATTAATAAAACCATTTTTTTTTTTTGCAGTTTGAAACATCTATACTAATGGAAAATCAGATAATAACCAGATACTATCAGAAAGGGATCTATAAATTTGTGACTTTTTCAGATACTCTGAAAAACCAAAAGAAAATTATGAAAATGTGAGATAGAACTCATAAGATCTCTTGGGACTTTTTTTTTTCTTTTCTTTTTTCACCTAGAATCATCATCTGTTTCTCTTGGGGGAGGTCTGGAAGATTAGAACTGCCAATACTCAGTGAATTTTTTGTGGCTACAAACAACACATTTTCTACGATAAAAGGGGTTAAAATGCTTATTTAGAAATCTCAGAGAACACTGATGAGAACTGGCATTTCTCACTGCTCATGCACTATGTTGGCGTGTTCTAAACAAAGCAGACCCAGAGAGTCTAATTCTGACAGGCCTATACAAGGGGGGGGAAGGGCAGAAACACAGGACAGAGCAGAGGTTTACTGTTGCTTAAAGCCTACAGAAAAGCCACACTCCCAGTTACATGCATGTGCCTTCCTTAGAAATTATTAAAATTAAAACAACCCCCACACCAAATATTTTTTCAGGGAAAGGTTTTCAAAGGACTGTTTCAACTTTTCTTGCTCCCAGAGAAGATTGGTGGAATCACCTCTCACAGCATCAGCTGTTTCTAATGGAAGCATCAGACACCTTTCTGCTGGAGAGTCTTAATGCCTGCTTTATTCCCCAGGGACTGCATACTGTCTGCAGTGAGGCCTGCTCCTCCCTGTGACTAGACCCACAGGGCAATGGTTGTTCCAGAGGATAGAGAGCATTAGTCCTCAACTCAGTGGTCACTTTTTAAGGAAATCTTGCATTTGAAAATACCATTTGACAATAGTGAATATGAGAATTATGTCACTAGTGTAAGCAAGACTAATGTGAACTGTTTTGGACTTTTACAATATTCGAAAGGAAATACATTAAGAATTATAAAAATCTCATCTTAAAATAAATAATCTCGAGGTGGGACGCTTGGGTGACTCATGCTCAGGGCATGATTCCGGGGTCCTGGGATCGAGTCCCACATGGGGCTCCCTGCATGGAGCCTGCTTCTCTCTCTGCCTCTCTCTCTGTGTCTCTTATGAATAAATAAAATCTTAAAGAAAAAAAATCTCAAGGAATTTAGCAACACGAGAAATAATTACCACTCTCCTACTTTGTGATGACCTAGTGCCTCAGAATTAACCAGATTTTAAAGCACTGTTAACTTCCAAGGGAAAAAAAAAATACATTATTCTACTAACAGAAATGCAAATATTTATGAATAAACCAAATACTCCCAACGCATGGAATTTGCATACCTTTAAACATACTTATGAAAAAAATATAAAAATGCACTTATTTCCATTCAATGTATTCTTTTCAAATTGGGTTAATAAGAAATCTCGAAGGATTTTTAAAATAGTACAACTGCATATGCAGATACTTTCCTTACCAATATAAAGTACTGAATCTCCTAACCAACAAAATGTTTTATATTAAGAGTCTTTGGAATAACATTAAAAATGAAATAATTCTTATTGATTTTATCTTGATGTATGCTACTGCTTGATACTGCATTTCAACACATAATTAATTACTGAATATTCTCTGTAGCAGGGGAATAGTCAATCTAACATTTTTATCTTGCAGCAATAGAACATGGTTTAAACAAAAAAGGTTAGAGGCAGAAACATAATTGTATTTACCTTACATTTTTGAGCTGTCCTCTTATTTTATAAATAAATATACGTAACCTTTAGAAATATTAAATAAAATATGTACAGTAAGTCAAATGGGCAAAATGTAAACATGCTTATATAATATCCATTGTAAACCTGAGTTGGAAAATGTGTCCTGGCAATATTAATGTCACACCTCTAATACATGATGGGCCTCAATTCAAACTCAGACCTATGTCTAAAGTCTACATACATTGTACTGTAGCTAAAATATGAATGACAGTGTCACTCACACAACCACGGTAACAGCAGGAATCATGTGACACACTGGATTTCTATTCTCTTACTGTGCTCACTAAGACTGTAGTGAGCACTAGATGAATACTCGAGAATAAGCAGGCGGCGGTTTGTGTCTACCCCGGAAAACCTACCGCACTTGGGGTCTGTGCAGTGTGCTGACAGTGCTCACAGGTACTTACCCAAGGAGAGAATCTTCCTTTGGCTTTGTCTTCTTGAACTTCTTGCTCCCACTGGTCCCACTCTGGTTAAACGTCCAGCTTTCTTCATTCCAACACCCTTCATGGTCAGAGGAGTTTCCTTTTCCTGAGCTTCGTTTCCCTAAGGAAATTTAAGACAAAGAATGCAGTTGGTACACTGGGATGAGGCTGTTTTACAAATGATGTTGTTGACTCCCCAGGTATCATCTGCATGACGCTACTGGTAATTATTTCAACTTCAGAGTCCTTTAAGTGATTCATGATGAACCACCTTTAATAATACAACATGCAAAAAAAGTGTCCAGCCTCTGAGGTCAGCTGTCTTGTCATAACTCAACGGGCAGAGTGTGCACTGTGTGACTCCAGACACAGACTAACTAGTACCAGCTTTTCCATTAGAGAATCAGACTAAGCTGTGGAAGCCCTTGGCTGGTGGGCACTATTAATTCTAATTTCCCCAAGACTTTACTGGAATGATGTCCCTGGAGAACTATGTACTCCCAAGGATCTTCACTCGGGGCTTGTTAAGATCCAGTATTCACACATCTCTAAGTTGGAATTCAGCTTGGCAAGAGGTAGTTCCCTAGCCAGATGCTATATTTTAAAACAGATGAATTTATATAAAACACTCTATGAAATAAAGGTATACACATGAACTGGTTTAGTGTTTTAAAGAGCCCTTCACTTCAATTCTAGTTTTGAGTACCTAATGGAGAGGGCTAGATAAGTTGCTTCTGGAGCCTATCGGTCAACATTCTGCTTAATATATTTGCATGATTCAGAAAATTCTTTCCATCAGTTTTAAAAACCAGACTAAGAGCTCCAAACATGCAATGCCGATCCTTCAAAACAAGAAGCCAGCCCATATCACGGAAAAAAAAAGAAAAAAAAAAAAAAGCTTGATTTATTTTGAACATATATCCTGAGAACTACCTACAAGAATAATACAAAATCTCCTCAATGGTGCTAGAAAACATGTAGGTAAAATAACAAACCATAAAGAACTGTACAAATGTAAAATATTGTTTTGATACCATCTTGTTCTTTATGGAGGTTCTTCACAATGAGTCTAAAGGAAAAACCTGCTAGGTTTTCATATTCTTTTCATATTTGTAGAAGTTGCTTACCTCTGTCAACATTAGCTCGCAGAGAGGTGAGCATGCCTTCAGACACCAGGGTTTTATAAAGAGCACCTTTGCAAGACCTCTCAGATTTCCGGGAGCCACAAGTCTCTATTTTTCTGTGACAGTCACTTTCCTCAGGCTTGGCCTGTCCTGATAGGCTGGGTGGTAATGCCTCCTCTGTGGGCGTCAATGGTTCTGCTTTTATACCCTCTGGCACCTCACCAGAAATGTTCTTGCTGGCAGAAATATTAATGAAATCTGGAGGTCTTGACTCTTTGGTGGTGTCTGAGGATTTCTCCTTGGACATTTTCTTCTCTCTTGATTTCACTTTTTTCTTTGGTGGCTTGGCATCCAAAATGCTTCCCTTGCCACTTGAGGATGTGCGGACCTTCTTGCGAGGGGTTTCTCCAAGTTTCTCAATGCCCCAGTCTCCCTTTGCAACGGCTTCAATGGTGTACATGACACTCTCAATGTCGGACTCTGAAGACTGCCTCTTTTTGCAAGTCTTCTTGGGTGTGGATTTATCATTTCCATGTCGATCCATTTTGCTTTTCTTCTTTTTCTTTTTTAGCTTCTCTGGTTTGTTTAATGCTGTGGGATCTTCAATGATCATAATTCCATGAGGATGGCACATGTGATCCTTTCTACTGGGAACATCACTTATTATGATCTTGCTACTGGCAGAATAAGAAAAATCAGGGAAGTGACTACATTTTTGATCTTCCTCTAGTTCTTCCTTTTTAATTTCTTTGGGATCTTCCATTTTTATATCCATTATATCATCCATTCGTAGCTCCTCAAAATTTCTTAGTTCCTTAGAATCTCTGACATTTTCCTTAGCTGGTCTTTCAAATTCTGCTGCCTTCTGTAACCTGGCTTCATCTGTTTTCTCCATTTTTATTTCTCTTTGTTCCTTTCCCTTCTCCAATTCTTTAATTCTTCCACCATCTGATTCTTTTGCCTTCATTAGCTTTGAGTCCTCCATTTTAACCCCCTCTGATGCCAGACACATCTAAACGGTTCAAACAAAAATGGGAGAATAACAAAAAGAGCCTTATTATTCTATACTTGAAATTAGCTTAAAGTTTTCATCAAGTCTATCCCTCCTGAAGTGCCTGGGTGGCTTAGTCGGTTAGGTGTCTACCTTTGGCTCAAGTCATGATCCCGGAGTCCTAGGATGGAGCCCGGCATCAGGTTCTCCACTCAGTGAGGAGTCTGCTTCTCCCTTTGGCCCTCCCCGTCTCGTGTTCTCTCTGACAGTCTCTCTCAAATAAATAAAATCGCTTTAAAAAAATAAAGTCTATCCCTCTTAAAAAATAATCAAGACAAACTTTACAATAATTGGTACACTTCTGCCAAACTAATTTAAATGACTCAAATTAATCAAAAGCTTGAGGCATTATGACACATTCATTAAACTTCAAACAAGCATATACCCGAATTCTCATTTTCCAGCTTCATCAGAAGCTTTTTCTGTGAAAACACAAATTTTGTAGGAGGAAGATGGGCTCCGGAGCTGGAAGACCCAAGCTTGAGTCTTAGTTTTGCTACCTGCTTACCATTGTGGCCTGGAATTAGAATGAGACATTTTACCCCTCACTCTTCTGTTTTCTTTGTAAAATAAAAAGGATGAAAATAAAAGTTGTCTTAGAGAATTCTGTGAGGTCTACAGGAGACGATGTACTGATGGCAATACTGACTAAACGAGGATCCCCAGACTGTTCACACGTTTGCCTTTTCTTTTTTCTTGGGGAAATGAGAAAAATAGCAACATTTTTTACCTATCCACTTGAAATTAGAAATGAGAACATGACTCATTAAATAACTACAGAAGCTTTTGGTTAATGAAAAAGACGTTACAGTCCTCAGATACTGACAGATAACCTGAGGATCACAAAAGTGCTTAACACTAAGTGGTGGTGGTTTTTTTTTTTTTTTTTTTCAGACTCATTTGATGGCAGACTTGATCTGATCTGAACTTACTCGCCTGCAAATTCTGACCATAACTAATGTGAAATTGCTTAATATCTTAATTCATCATACATAATGGGACTATTCATATGCTTTTGCTATCAGAATCTTCATGCATTTGCATTATGCCCTGGGGGAATTAGCTGCATAGTGTAAGATGCATATACTATATCATTTTCCTAAAATCTTAAAAATTCTGAATACCAAAACACATCTGGCAGCAATTCGGCTATGTTTTTAAACTCCCCAAATTTCACTCATAGGACCTTAAAGGAAACTCTTGCCATCTTCCTGTCCAGCTCCTAGGTACCTCAAAACTCCTATCTAAAGCTGTTTTCTGAAAGGGGGAAATTGCAGCTTACCGTAAAATTTATTTTCAATACCTGGATTTTCATTCATAAACATTCCCTGCAAGGCTCTTAAGTGCTGGGCCCATGACCCTAAAGATAAAAAGACCACCAGACCACCATGTGGGCTTAGACTTAGTTTGTGGTGACACGGCTAAATTCCAGAAGGTTGGAATGATTGGTAAATATGGGACTCATTATTGTCGTCTTCCTCAGAAAAATGGTAAGGAAAACTGAAATAAGCCAGCAGGCTCAGTGCACTCGTTCTTTCTGTGGCAAGATCAAGGTGAAAAGATGAGAGGTGGAGATTGGTTCCTGCATGAACCTGGTAGCTGATATGCCTGGACCTACACCAGCCCTTCTGCAGCCACAGTAACATCTTCCATTACCAGTCTGAAGGGACTGAAAGTCCAGCAGCAGAAGCTCCACCACATGAAATGCTGCTATCCTATAATAAATGGGTTAATTTATGTAACAACAGCAACAAAAATACAAAGATCAATAAGTTACCCTCAATGCCTTTGAGGATTCATCAAGAGGCTGACGATGATGATTATTAGGCCAAGGGCAGCACAGGAGTTCTTAGCCATTACTCATTTTACCTATTTTGTATTAGCAACTTAGATGAAAAAGCATACTGGGCTTTCTGAGCACTGAAATCAAGCCCATGAGTAAGGAAATTGATACTTTAAAAAAAAATCTCCAGTTTATCAAACGTCAAATGATCAGCAATGTTAGCTATATCTATAAAACTCGTTTTTTAAACAGATGAGACATTCAATTAAATATCAGATCCTCTTTTTACCACATTTCCCCCCTTACTACTTTCAATACATCTCAAATCTTTCTGTGAGAATTATAATTGGTAAGTCTGAGAAGAAAGTGGAGAACGGGGAGAGGAGGCAGATCGTGCAAGTTTTTTAAAAAAATGAATATGACAAGAGCACTCAGCCCTTCAGATCATTCACGGGAAAGACTTGAAGTACTAGCGATTCATGATGGAGCTATCTTTTTTGGGAAATCCTGTAAGTTAACTTTTAGGCCTCAGCAAATAGTATGAAGACGGAGAACTTCCCTTTAGTACATCTTACCACAGGTAAGATCAAAGCAAAATGTTCTTTTAATTCTAGAACACTGATATATTTAATCTTCCTTGCATGTTTTACTTTCACTGGATAACTCGCTGTTTTTGTGTCAATTTTGAAATAATTTTTATTTTCCTTTCTCGATTATCATAGCCCTTCGTGAATAACCACCCCACCTGGGGACAGAGACTATGCTAGTTCTGGAAAGAAGACCTGAAAGGCATCCTCCTCAAGGTAAATTTTATGGTTTTGTCAGCCACTATCATATCACTCTGGTGACCTTTAATAAGTCATCCCAGGAACTGTGTCCCAGATGGCCGCTAGTTTTATAGTGGTACGCCAACAGTTTGTATTTGCATAGGTTCATCTGAGCAAACCTAATAATACTTTGCAAACCCCATTCTCTGCTTCAATATATTTCAAAATGATTCTCCTCATCACCCCTGATAGAATTCTACAGCTAGGAATGAAATGGAACAAATGCAGACATTCACTCTGGGGACATATTCTAGGAAATAGCATAATATTTCTTGTGGAGGTAATTACACCAGGCACTAGTCATGCTTTACTTCCTAGTTTCAGGCTCTTAAAAGTTTTTTCCCCCCACAAATAGAGTATGTTAATCCTAAATTATAAGAAAAACAATTATATTGCTGGAAGTAAAACTATAAAAATAAAACAAATAACTCTTGAGTCAAAAAACTACAAATCATAAATCTCACCAACCAAAAGAGAAAATAAACACAAATCAGACTCTCATAGCTGGATGTCAGTCTAGGTTACCAAATTTAACATCCTTCCTCATGCAGAAATTCATTTTACTACAATATCATCCAACTTTCTGCCCAAAGACAGTGACCACATTAGAGGGCAGTTTTCTCTGAAATCTTTAAAATTTTGAGGAAAATATTACTCTGTCAGTATTAGTTGTTCCCTAAAGTCACATAAAGTAATCCACTCTTTCATGTGAAAGACTTCTAAATCTCATGTGAAGACAGATGTATGTTCCCCTAAGTCTCTTCTCCTGGCATAATGTCCCAAATCCCTTAACTGCTCATCAGATGTAAAAGCTTCTCGTCCTTTCAAAACTTGGGACTCTCTTATCTATGTGCAGTACTGGTGTCCTGAAGCGAGAACTGGGCTTTATTGAAGTAAGCTGAGTTCAGGACCAAGCAACACAGTGCTTGCCTAAGGCCACGCTTCGACTTGAATCCATATGGGGAAATAAAGGCTGAGAAATGGGGTAATACACGCTTCACTGGGTTGCTGTGACACAAAAGTGTAGACACTTTACATAAAAAGCTTCATGAGGGCCAGGGAATGTGAATTTACTAGTATCTTTCTTAGAGTAAGTTCCTAGCCTTCCGTACTACTCTAGATGAGAAGTGGGACTGCCAACTTGCCAGGTGAAAGGGACATAATTCATCTTCCAATGGGGCCCATAGATGAAGAATTGCTCCCCTCCCATTAAAAAAAAAAGATCAGGGTTCCTGTGTGCTGGAGTCCCATAAGTATTCAACTCTTGGTTTTGGCTCAGGTTGTGATTTCAGGGTCCATGCTCAAAAGATAGTTTGCTTTCTCTCTCTCTGCACACTAACCCCCTTGCCTGCATGCACATGCGCGTGCGCGTGCGCTCTCTCGCTCACTAAAATGAATAAATCAATCATTAAAAAAGAAAAAAGAAGGGTCAGACTTCTGCCTTGTACTGGGCTTGTGGTCAATAAAAATCCTGGATTTCTTTACACATATAATATGCTGGGAAACTTGGGTCTCTCCTATTCTGTATTTCTTGTACATAGATGTGAGATTTTCCATTTTTCCTTATAAAGTTTGTCCTTTCAACCTCTGAACTACATTACTTTCCATCTCTGTGTTATGGACACATTTTATAAGGCTGCTTTTTGTGTTTCCATCCAAATCTTTGATAATGTTTAACAGGACATGGGTAAGGACAGAGCCTTCTGGCAGATTTCTAGAGGCCTTTCATCAGGTTTATTTGAACATTAATGAGCTTCAGCAATCAAAGAATGTTTTATAATCCAGTCTAAATCCCCCCATTTTCTTCACAAAACGTGTGTGTCAAAAGTCTTGCTGGAATCAATACAGTATGCCAACATCATTCTTAGCCTATTTTATAATGATACCAACTGGAAAATGAAAATGGCTTGTGTATTAGTCAGGGTCTAACTAGGCAGACAGAAACAACTTAAAGTGGGGACGCTTGGGTGGCTCAGCAGCTGAGTGTCTGCCTTTGGCTCAGGTCTTGATCCCCACATCCAGGATCCAGTCCCACATTAGGCTCCCTGTGAGAAGCCTGCTTCTCCCTTTGTCTATGTCTCTGCCTCTCTCTGTGTCTCTCATGAATAAATAAAATCTTAAAAAAAAAAACAAAAAAACAACTTAAAGCACATCTAGCAGAGGGAATTTAATGCAAGGCACAGTTTGGTTACACAGGACACGAAGAACTATGATGCCCAAACAGGAGGTTGGTGAGGCAATCTAGGGATTAGCAACAGCAGGAACAAAGCGGGGTAAGATCCCCAGAGGAAGAAGGAACCATGGTCGGTCTAAATGGAGAGAACCGAATACGTGGAAGAGATGTTACCTCT